TCTGGGTGGGTGGGGTGGGGGAGGGTTCATGTCCTCTGGCTCTCCTCTGGAACAGGCTTGTGACAGAAAACGCCAATTCATTCCACTGGGGCTGACACACGTAGGACCTGGTTGCCACAGACAGGGAGGCCCAGAAAGAAGAGCTGGTAAACTGGGCCACAGCTGGAGTCAGGCATTGTAAGTTCCACGGGGGCAGGACCGGTTTTTGTCATGGGCAATATATTTTTCTCTTTGCTTTTCCCTCATTATCTTACAGGGCCTAGCATGGTGCTGCCCAAATCAAGCAGTCAGTTTTATGCTTGTGGGAGTCAATTAACTAATTTGGTAAATATTTACTAGCTGCAGGCGCTAGGGGAAACAGGATAAATAGCACGAGGAATCTCTCTGTGTCATTCCTTACAACTGCATATGACTGTACAATTATCTCAAAATAAAAAGTTTAATAAAAGATTAATTCAGAAAAACTTAAATATGTCTAAAAGAGAATGACTAAAGAGGAACAAAGTAAGAGATCCAGAAATGTTAAAAAAAAAAAAAAAAAGGCAAACATTTGACAGATTGTCATGCGGAAAAGGGCATAGGCGTGCTGCGGGGTCCGAGGGCAGACTTAGGATGGGTGAATAGAAGTTAAGACCGAGGACGAGACTTTCACGGTAGGATGGATGAGGTGAGAAACCAGCGGTGTCCAGCAGAAGTGCTGCGTCCTGAGGCAGGGAGCCCCTAAACTGGTAGGATTCAGACCCTGGTGGCCATCCTTAGGCACCTTCTGGGTTTTCTTCCAACTCGAGGAATGTCTGAGACGTTGACCTATTCTCAAAGCCAGATTCTGCATGGCTTATTTTTCCTTCCAAATTGGCCTGTGATTGTAAATCGAAACCATCTATATCTTTAATCCATCTCTTCAAAAGCTCAATACTTTTCTTGACTAAACTTCTGAGCTATCAGTTGGGGAAGGGCGAGGCCCTTGCGACCCACTCCTGGAGCTGTCGTCACTCCTGCCGCTGTCTAAAGAATGTCCTCCTCAAGGCCACGCCCATAACTCTCATCATTGCCACAGGAAGGAGAGGCGGCAGCTTTTAGAGTGACAACAAAGAGCCCAGAAAACTCCCCATCCATGCTTCATATCAAACATTCAGAAATAAACCAAAAATGCAAAGGGAAATTCAGTGTACATTACATTTTGATAGTATTGTCTATACTATTGTCATGTTCATTTTAGATCATCAAAGATGCACAATAATCCCGTGAGGACAGAAGCACCAGGTCTCCCTTGACAAGATGAGGATACCAAGGCACAAGGGGTTCCTGGGTCACAGAAAGAATAAGAGATAGAGCAGGTCTCAAACTTTCATCTTGTGACTCTAGTGCCCATTCTTTATGCTCAGCCCCACTGCTTCCAACTCATGGGTTGCTTCCTTAGCATCAAGATATTCTTCTTTGCCTCTCCTCACCTTGGCTGCACCCTCTCATCACTGACCTCACACTCCCCCATCCTACATTCATCCGTGTTACCATCTACCTCTTGGTACTTAAATATTATGTTCAACTTCTCTGTTACTCATTAAGTCATCCAACTGCAGTGTCTCCAGTCTCACTAGTCTGATGCTTTTTAGCTCCTGGGCACCTGATCTTCTCTCCTGTCCTACTCCAATATAATTCCTTCTGGAGAGCAACCTGAAACGAGACTTTTTCAGATGCCAACCAGGCCTCAGTGGTGTTCCTGCATGTTCCACATATTTTATGACATGGGACACAGCAAGACCAAAGGTAGGGAGAGCTTAGTGTTGGAGAATTAGTGGCAGGCAACAGTCCCAGGGGTCTAGCTGGGAGAGGCCAAAAGTCAATGAGATCCAAAAGTGGATGCATGAAACATGAACTATGGATGAGGAGTTGGGGAAGTAGATGATATTACAGGGGGCAAGCCTGAAGGAAGCAAATAGTTTCCTGGTTCGTCTGGCATAGGGAAGTTTTTAAATAACCAGGTGAGACTGTATTCTTTTGCTCTACAGTAACTTAAAGGCACCACCTGTCACATGCCGGATGACTGATTCAGCAGCCTGGGAGTTCACAGGGGGCCGGCTTGCCTTGGACACAGCCCTGTTGATTGGAGCCAAAGCATCTCACACAACAGTAATAGGTTAAAGCCACCAGATGTCTTCACACCCTAAATCATAGAAAAGTCGGCTAGGACAGGAATAATTGACAGTGGCCTGGATCAAAACAGACACCTCATCTCAGCATATTTAGTGGAAAATACATGGAAAACAAAAGCTGAATTTTCTATCCAGGCTGCAGTACCCAATACATCACTGCCAAGAAGAAAGTATTCAATAAAATCCTCCTTAAAGTTGTGTCTGGAGTGGGTGCTATATGGAACAATTAGTCAGACAGCAGCCCAACCCTCAAGCTCATGGTGCATTGCCAACAACCCTGATGTGGACAACAAGCACAACACATCGACCCAACAAATATTTATTGTGCATACCTACTATGTGTCAGACACCAAGCGAGGCTCTGACATTACACCAGAGCTGCCCTTCAAAATTTCCAAAGGAAGTTTACATACATAATCAAATCTGATCCTCATAAAACCAAGTGACATGAGATATTATCACCACTTTGAAGATGAGTAAACTGAGGCTTACCAAGGTTAGATGAAAGGTCCAAGGTCATACTACTGGTACTTAGTACATAGCATTGATTCAAGACCATGTAAATTTTTCTACCCTGGGAAAGGTCTTGGATACCTAGGACCCTTTCCTAACTCTGCCAAAAGGCTGCTTCTCAATCTCCACACTCATTTAAACTCAGATGTCTCTACACTTTTTCTTTAGGAAGGGTAATGTATCAGTTAGGATATGTTTGGCTTCAAGCAACAGAAAACCCAAGTAAGAGTGAGTTAATCAATAAAGACACTTAATTGGTAAAGGTGGAGGGAAATAAAGTCAATAACGTTGTGATAAGTTTGCATGATGACAGGTGATTACTAGACTTAGTAAGGTATATAAACGTCAAATCACTATATTGTACGCAAGAAACTAATATAATACATTATATATACGACTAATATATACAACTATACTTAAATTTTTTTAAGTATTTAATATAGCTAGATTTCTCATGCCGACTTTTTAACTGATTTGTTCTATTAGGTATAGTATACCAACTATACTTAAATTTTTTTTAAGTATTTCATATAGCTAGATTTCTCATGCCGACTTTTTAACTGGTTTGTTTTATTAGGCAAAAGGGAAGGACAAGGATTTACAGGAAGAGGAGGCCCATCTTTCAGAGCTTATGCAGAGTAGGTACTAACACTGTCCATGGTATTTAAATGAGCCTTTGCAAGACTTTTCATGTCTTTCTAAAGAGAAATCACAAGCCCTCTCCTAAATGAGAAAAGCCTAAAGTGCTTAGAACCATGGCTGATAATAAGTAATCAATTATTATTATTATTATTATTATTATTATTTCAATTAAATTTCCCTGCTTTCTGACATCTATTTGGATTTAACTTCTTTTTTCCCTCCACCAAGAAGTCCAAAATCCCAAGTCAGATGTCTCTAAGGAGCTTATATATGTTTGCACAAACACAGAAGAGCCTTAGGAACTACAAATTATCAACCAAGAACAGTTCAATGCCTTTCAGAATTCTTTACTTTTATTGAGGCTTGTGTTTGTTTACCTTTTATTTTAAGTGCTTTCAAGCCCATTCTCTTGAAGTACTTTGCCTTACCAGGAGCCCTGCCTGTTTGTTCTTCTTGCCTCCTTCATTCAGAAGAACCATCAATCAGTTTCTGAAACAAGGCAGCTTCTGTGCAGAATCAAAACCACCACATCACAGCAATGGCAAAAGAATGCAGTGGGCATTGTTGTTTGTACACAGGCCTTCATCTCTTTGAGAAGTTCTTCTCTTTGAAATGAATGAGGCAGACAAGAGTGGTGGCTTCAAAAGCAACTATCCTTTGGGCTTTTCTTGTTGGAAGTTCTGTGCAGCACTATTACTAGAAAGTAAAGAGAAGAAAAAGGCAAAGCTGAAACAGACTGCAGGTTTTCTATACAAGAGACTCACACCTGGACACTGGACACTTGCCTTTACTTTGTAGATTTGGGTTTGCAAGGTTAACGTGAAAGAGGCTGTTTATTTTCACCTGGCATAAAAGTACATAAACTTCCATCACCAAGAGCCCAGGCCAGAAGTATGCTATTTCCTCTTAAGAATGTTATTGCTGGAAGGAGTAGAGCTGCCATCACTACTGTTGCCATGGTTATGGCTTCTGGACCAGGAGACTGGCTGAACCTTGGCCCAGCTCTTCCACCCAGCCACCATCTCCTCTGTAACAAAGAGGCCTCCTTACTCCTTGATCCATCTGGTGTTTGGCTAAAATGTCGGAGAGCATATTGTTTTCCACGGTACTTCACGTCCCTTCCGCAAATTCTTAATGACCCACCCTACTGTTGATTAGGGCCTAAAGTCTTGGACTAGCGGAAAAATTAAAACAATGTTCAGGACTCATAGAGATGCTCAGCCTAGTAATTGGCTTGAGGATCATTATCTTCACCTTTTGTCTGCAGAGGGTTTGCAATGATGGCTTGAGAGTTCAGAGCTAAATATCTGGCCCACAACTGGGGAGTGAAAAGGAAAGTACAATATGTAGTTGATGTGTCACCTCATTCATAAATTCATCTTTTTTCCACCCTATCTTCCCTACCTACATTTCTCTTTAACATGGCTTGCATATTTTAATATGTCTTTGCATATGTTTGTATCTTTAAAAAGTGCTTTAAATCTTTTTGAAGCAAGGATAAATAGAAAGTAGAAGTATGTTCCTTAGAAATCCATTGCATTTGTGTTATTAAGATGGAAGAAAAAAGCACAAAGGCCTTTCAGTCCAGGAAGGAAAAACTACATAATGCAAAACACCTAGAACACACTCTGTGTAAAAATCAAATGGAAAAATGTAAATGTATGTTTGCTGTTGAAAAAAAATATATAAATGGTGCTCACTTCGGCAGCACATATATTAAAACTGGAGCTAGACAGAGATTAGCATGGTCCCTGTTAAAAGATGACACACATTCATAGAGCATTCCATATTTTTAGATCTTGGTCAAAGGGTACAGATTCCCAGCTATAAGATAAATAGGATTTGGGGATCTAACGTACGGCACAGTAACCATAATTGGCAATACCATATGATGTATGTGAAAGTTTTAAGAGAGTAGATCTTAAATGTTATCACCATACATACACACACACAAATGTTTATGTGAAGGGATGAAGATGTTAACTAATCTTATTGCGGTAATCATTTTGTAATATATACGTGTATCTAAATCATCACATTGTACACCTTAAACTTACATACGTTATATGTCAATAATATCTCAATAACGCTGGAAGGAAATTGCCTCAACTACAGAGAAAGATATGTACATATGATTGGATTCAAGAAAACTTAATTTATGGCACAAGAGAGGAATAAGAACATGGCACTCCTAAACTCAGGGGCCTGCTACATGAAGTCACTCACACAGGACATCTGGGCAGTTCCTTCAGAAGCCTGGGGTGAGTGATATGGACATGCCATACCCATCAGGGCGGTACTTGGAATTCCAGTTTCTTGCACACAGTAAAAGTTCTACAGATACATGCCGAATAAATAGAAAGGATAAGTTTTAAAAAATAGAAAGGATAAGTTCACAGATAATCTTCAAATTAATCCAGGTAGAAATGATTTAACAGCACCCAGAAAAGTGGATGCCATAAAAGGCTTTACTCCTTTTCATCCTTTCGACAGCACTACAAAGTAAATGTTTTTATCTACCTTTTTTCAGATGACTTTAAGAAAGGTTAAGGAATTGGTGCGAGGCTACATAAGTAGACAGTGAAAGGCCCAGGATTTAAGCCTGGAGCTGTCTGATTCTAAAACAGACTATTTCCTTATTCTCCTCCAATATTTCTCAAGCTTTTCTAATGTTAAGAACTCAAATCTGAAGTCCCATCCCAGAACCACTGTATCTGCGTCTCCAACGGAGGAACTTAGAAGCGTATGTTTAACAAGAGACAAAATGATGATTATTATTAGAGAAGTTTAAGAAATCTGTTTTATTGCATTAGGTGGGAGAAGGACTCATATCTCCCTCTGAGTGATCATACAGAAGCCATCAGAAATTTGAAGCTGTCAACTAAAAATAAATCATATCATTATAGAATTTGTCAGATTATAATATTACCAAATATTTATTCTTCAGATCAGTAATATAGTATTCTCTGGATCCTAAATACAAAGACCATTTTGGAAAGTTAAATATGGGCTCTAGTGCAAATCTCAGACTTTTTAGCTTTCCTCTCTGTCTCTTTTTGGTCCTCTGAAGCAGAAGTGATTAAGAATTCCTTTTCAATTCCTAGCAGCTTTAATTGAGCAGAAGTTCCAGGTGTGCAAGGGCTGGAGAACTGCTGGAAGGAGACCCACAGGCTGAAAATCAGTCCTCATATCTGGCTGCCCACCAGATGGCTTTCATTAGATGAGCAAGTTACACGACCCAGGAAGTAGAAAATCCATCATTGCTTGGTTTGTTTTTCTTAGTTTCAGTCTTTACACGCCTGCTGAGAAAAGCCGAGGCCTACTAGCCTGCAGCTTCAATACCCGTCATGAGAGCAAACAACTTATTTGTACAACCTCAACACTTAATTAATGAAATGGAAAGCAAGACAGTGATTCCTGACATGGCTGAATTTAAGTCAAGCTGTGAAACTCCACGGTGCAGCCAGAAGTAGAGACAAACCAGTTGAACTGAAACCTGAGAGGCGTTGGACCACTGCTTCTCAGCAATTTTGTTGTAAATTATTCCCATTATATCAGAAAGAAATATGAGATATGATTAGAGAATAGAGCTGATTACCCCCATTTGGAGCATAGATCTTCATTTTAAGAAATTTGCTTCATCTACTATTGCCAAGAAACTTTCTTTGAATTAACGTATCTGGGCATGATGTCTAGAATAGCAAAAAATGACAGTTATATTTTACAAATAATACCTTAATATGCTTCTATTCTTAAGTGTTCTTGATCTTATTTAATCTTTGCAACAACTCAATAAGGTTGGTACTCTTATTAACACAATTTTACAGATGAGGAAACTGATAACTTCTTCACAGAGAGTCCACAGCCAGTAGCTGAGAGCTCATCTCATATCACTATGCTATCAGCATCCTAAAGGAGTCCATATTTTTGGCCATTCATTTCTCAAAAGACAGATTCTCATATTGGATTAAAACATAAGATCCAACAATATATTTGTTGCTTAAAAATAGGTATCTATAACAAAAAATGCAGAAATGTTAAAAATAGGAAAGTTTTATTAAGGAAACTCATACAAAATTAGTTGGTATATTGGTAAAGTTGATATCATATAAAGAGATTTGGAAGCCAGACAAGGTGGAGGGAGGGTGCAAAGGGACTCCTGATTATAATGGAAGATATAAAATCAACAGTGAAGACATAGATTACCAAAGTTAGAAATGCAAAGAAAAATAGAATAAATTTAAAAACAAACAATTGTTATGGGAGGTGTTAACCCATATCAGGCTAAGACAAAAATTAGACAATCTTAAAAATTAAATGGACAAATTTTAAAAGATGAAAATTTAGAAGACACTGAAGATATGACAAAAATAGATATAAATTTGAAAAATAACATACAGGTTATGAAAACTACACAATTAATAAGTTATAACCAGTAGATACATATTGAACCCAGTAATAACACAGACTATATACTTTTTTCAATTTATAGGGCATTGGTGCATACATATTGGCTCTCAAATAAGGCCCCAAAAATGAAACAAGAGGAAAATTATATAAATATATTTTCTCACCACAATGCAATGAAACCAAATGTTAATGATATAAGTAAAAATAGTGAAAGGCGCCTTGAACAAAATAGTGATCTAATCAACAGGCTTGGAAGCAGACAGTCCAGGGTTTGAATAGTAATTCCATTCCTTACTGCTCTGTGACTTTTGCTATTTATGGAACCTCTCTGAACCTTGGATTCTTCATCTAAAAATGTAGCTGTACTTTGCAAAGTTGTTATGAATATAAGCTATAAATTATGTAAGATAACACAATACTAAGATTTAAAAGAAGGTTAAAACTAAACATTATACAATATGATGCCATATTCTTAAGGTATTCCAGTTTTATTTAACTAGAGAAAAAGTCCAGATTTTTGTTGATTGAAATCAAAAGTCTAGAAAATATACATCCAAATATTAACAGTGGTTATCTCTATGCCCTGATCTTTCTGGTGATTTTCATTATTTCCCTTTATTTTTCTACTGTAAATGTATAATAAGTATACAACAATAATAAATATGAAAATAAATATAAATTTCTTTAGAACGTAGTACAAGAAGAAAATAATATTAATATATTTAGAGCTGTATAGGTGGTGGTTTCTGTAAACAAGTAGCCATTTCAGTTGTTGTCATCATCATTATTGTAAGTTGTTGTCATCATCATTATTGTAAATTCTAAAATACTCTCAATATCTCTCTGTATATATACACACACATA